TGACAAGACGAATGCACAGTTTTTCTGACTAGTTCCGTATTCTGCAGGCTTTATTACTAACTATGATGTCCTACTGAGAAATGTTTGTCTTAATGAATGCATCTTCCACCTTACTAATATGTATACACCTTATGTAAACACCAGAAAATTTAGTGCTCTTTATGTGTTTGCTTTATGTACCTTAAAACCTCAGTGCACAAAAATGATGTAAATGGGAAGCCACTGTTTAACTTCTATTATATCTTAATTTAGGTCAGGCATGTTAATGGAATGTTATTGAGTAGATCTTTTGTGGACAGAGATAGTATTTCATTTTAATCACAAATTTTCTAATGCCATTAGATAATTATGAGTTTTGCAGGCTTACTGTATGCTGACAGTTTTTTTAAAAGCTGCTACTTAAGAGCTTGTTTGGAGGTTCTAGCAGGGGCGCGCAGCTACTCGTATACCCTTGACCGAAGACCAGTCCTCCTCTAGCTTACGTATATTGATAGCATAATACAAATAATAGCTATCTTCATGTTTATTGTTATTAGCCTCATAAAATGTTCTTTTATAAAACATAGAACTCATATCTCAGCATATTGTCTTGAAAAGGAGAACTTTTTCATCTATGCTCTGTATTATCTGATGTCCTTTAGATAACCTTCCTGAGTTTCAACTTTTTTCCTAACATTGAATGGTCTCAATTCTGGCTAAATACTTTGCCTTCACTAATCATAATCCCTAAGTGATGATTCCAGACTAGATTATTTTCCTTGATTTTTTGATTCTATTATTTTTATTTTTAAATATTCAAGTGAGAAGCAAACCCAAACTTAAACCTAAACCTAACATGTAACTTATTTGCTTCCCTTAAATAGATAAGATAGAGTAAGAAATAGTCCAAGATTACAAGTTAGACACATATTTTCCTAAAGATTTCATTCAATACTCCCCTTGCTCCAATGATGTATCACTATCACCACCATGTACAGCTGTTCATATTTTTAATTTGAAATCCACTACACTTGACTGCCGCCTGCCAATGCAGGAGACAGAGGAGCCACAGGTTCCATTTTTGGGTCAGGAAGATCCCCTGGAGAAGGAAATGGCAACCCACTCCAGTACTCTTGCCTGGGAAATCCCATGGACAGAGGAGCCTGGTGGGCTACAGTCCCTGGGGTTGCAAAGAGAGAGACAAGAAGGATTGGCTGAGCACACCAAGTCACATTTCTTAACTAAACACCCTGTTAAAGGAGCATTTATTTTTCAACCTATACCTCCACTGCGCTATTTGGAAAAGTTCAAGATCTTTCCTAACACTTATTGATGTACCATGAGATTAGACCATGACAGATCACAAGGTTTTTGGTATTTCTTCTATTCGATATCACAAGCACACAGTGAGATGCAAAGGATGCAGACACGTTTCTGAAAAACTGTAGGCATTGAGAAAAAAAAGAATAAAAGAAACAAACAATATCTCACATGTGCTATGCCTGTTCATTTTTCTTTGGAGTTTGTAACTGAGAAGTTTAGTACAACTTTAATAACTGTGTCACATGCTTTCTTGCTGTGTTAAACAGGAATTCAGACATCTTTATGCTTGCTTACATCTCAGGAGAGCTTCAATAGGGTCAGAGTTTAATATGGTTATTGTGAGACACTTATGCTCCAAAGAAACTAGGTTGAAAAAGCTGCATTATGTTCTGATTATATAATCATGGCTATTTGAACTCATACAAATTCCCCTTGATATCTGTCTTTACCTTTTCTGTAGGCCATGAGTATATAAAAATGTTACTTATGATTTTATTCTTTTTCTTTTCTCTTGTTGCCTCAAATTCAAACCCTATTTTACCACAAATATTGAGCAACTCTATAGGCTAGCCTCTCTGTTAAGGGTTTAAGGAATGAAACCTAATGAATCATAACTATAGTCTGTGAAAAATTGCTAGTTTGATAGACAAATAGGAGTTTTTCAACCCAAATTATTTTATAATGTCTACCTAATGCTCCATTATTGCCACTTGAAGTATTCTTATTTGGTCTATGTCTATTTATCTATTCATATCACATTTTCTCTTTTAGAGAGGTTTCTCATATCTCTTTTGAAGGCAGCTGTATTGTTGGTGTGTGCATGCTCATGTGTGTGCTAACTGGTTTCCATCATGTCCGACTCTTTGAGACCCCACAGACTATAGCCCCCAGGCTCCACTGTCCACGGGCTTCTCCAGGCAAGAACGCTGGAGTGGGTTGCCATTTCCTTCTCCAGGGCATCTTCCCGACCCAGGGATCGAACCCTCGTCTCTTATTTCTTCTTCATTGTCAGGCAGGTTCTTTATCACTAGCGCCACCTGGAAAGCCTGGGTACTGTTGTGTTCAACTCTTTGTTGACCCCACGGCCTATAGCCCACCAAGCTCCTTTGTCTAGAAGATTTCCCAGGCAAGAATACTGGAGTGAATTGTCATTTTCTCCTCCAGGGGATCTTCCTGACCCAGGGATAGAACCCATGTCTCCTGTGCCTCCTACATTGGCAGGCAGATTCTTTACAACTAAGCCACTTTTAACGCGTTTGAGTTGTGGTGCTGGAGAAGACTCTTGAGAGTCCCCTGAGCTGCAAGGAGATCAAACCAGTCAATCTTAAAGGAAATAAACCCTGAATATGCATTGGAAGGACTGATGCTTCAGCTGAAACTCCAATACTTTGGCCCCCTGATACAAAGAGATGACTCATAGGAAAAGACCCTGATGCTGGGGAAGACTGAAGGCCAAAGGGGAAGGGGGTGGCAGAGGATGAGATGGTTGGATAAAGTCACTGACTCAATGGACGTAAGTTTGAGCAAATTCAGGGAGATCGTGAGGGACGAGGGAGCCTGGCATGCTGCAGTCCATGGGGTCACAAAGAGTCAGCTTAGAGACTGAACAATTACAACAACACGCAGTCAGTTAACTATTAAATACACTGATTAAACAAGAATTTTCTACCTCTGTATATTTTCTATCACATGTAACAAAAGATTTAGTAAATATTTAACTCTCTTGAGACTGTGTATATATTTATATGTCATATATTTATATGTACCATTGAGGCAATGTCCATTCAGTTCAGTTCAGTTCAGTCGCTCAGTCGTGTCCAACTGTTTGTGACCCCATGGGCTGCAGCACGCCAGGCCTCCCTGTCCATCACCAACTCCCCGGGTTTACTCAGACTCATGCCCATCAAGTCGGTGATGCCATCCAGCCATCTCATCCTCTGTCGTCCCCTCCTCCTCCTGCCCCCAATCCCTCCCAGCATCAGGGTCTTTTCCAATGAGTCAGCTCTTCGCATGAGATGGCCAAAGTATTGGAGTTTCAGCTTCAGCATCAGTCCTTCCAATGAACACCCAGGACTGATCTTTAGGGTGGACTGGCTGGATCTCCTTGCAGTCCAAGGGACTCTCCAGAGTCTTCTCCAACATTAAATGGATATAAATAAGGCTAATATTAACATTATAAGAGCAAATGGTATAAATCTTTTTGGGGGAGTGGTAGAAAGGCTGATGGCAAGATTTAAGAGCTACCAGGGCTAATTAATTTATAAAATTTTGAAGCTGACTGTGAAAGAACAATAAAACCTATAAAAACAGTTGGGAGTAAAGAATAAGTTATTTGACAGAATCTCCCTAATGTGATTTATTATTTTTCTCATATCTCTTAAAAGAAATTATTGTAATACTGTAATCTAGTATGTTGAATGAACTTCACCATTCAAAAATATATTTACTTCCTAATTTAATTGCTGTAACTTCTAGTTACATAGAAGTGCAAATCAGTTACCCTGGTTGCTTTACTTATAAGAAATTACAATCCAAAATCAACTAATAGAAATTTTAATCAAAGTCATTATTAATTTAAACTTTGTATTTTTGTGTTTGGTGTTGATTTAGCATTTATATTTCCTCCTATTTTCTTTATTTCCTTCTTTTGGCTTAAACAGACTACTGTTTAATCAATTATTTTTATTGGTGAGATATCAATAAAATAACCTATATCTTTTCTTTCATGTCATACCTAATAAAATTTTGCAAGTTCTTGTAAGCAATGTATGTTTTAATTTTGTGGGAGATCATAATTTTTTGTGATTCTGTTGTATTTTTTATAGTTTTTTTTTTTTTTTAGGCTTGACTATCAGATTTATAGTAATGTTGGTGCTACCCCTGGTGGCATAAAGCTAGCATTTTACTTTTTCCTTTAATGATAAAAAATTGAGAGAGAAATTTCTGTCCTGATTTTAAAAGTGTGCAAAAATACCTAGAAGGAAATGCAGGAAAAATCGACTAAATATAAGTTTAGTATTAGCCTATAGCACAATATACAATACAATATACAATATAAATCCATTGTAGATTAAATATATGTATATATATTTAACACATATACACTCATATACTTATTTCAAGGTCATTTTTAGTTTAATCATTATATTCATTGAGTAAATATTTCATTGTATTATATTAATATTTTATAAATATAGGATACATAAATATTAGGATATTTTATTTTTAATAAATGATAGAATACATAATCTTATTTTTCTAAGTATCTAAATATTTTTCTTCTATTTTCTGTGTGTTCATCTATCTATTTATCTATTATCTCTCTATACATCTTTTTAATCTATGTCTTATATCCTGGATTCTTTTACATTAGTACCAATTTATTTCGTGGATATCCTCACTTTCACATTTGATAATAGGTGCAAGCATTAGATAGTGTTAGTATGTAAAATATTTTTTCATAGTAATTTCAACACTTTCTATTTTTAATTGAAATTCTACAACAGAATCCTTTGAAGTGAAAAGTGAAAGTACTACTCCTAGTTATAACCTTTAACTGGAGAACAAACTGCCTTTTGGTTTTGCACTGTTATGTTTTATAGGTGATTTATTTTCTGTAGACTGTATTTTCAAGCCAAGTAATCTTATATATTTGACTAACTTCACTGTAAACAAAAAATATAAATGTATCTCATCAGGCATTTTCCATCTGAAAGTTCCTGAGTCTTCTCCTGTTGGCTCAGCTATTGGAAGAATAAGAGCCGTGGACCCTGATTTTGGACAAAATGCAGAAATTGAATACAATATTGTTCCAGGAGATGGGGGAAATTTGTTTGACATCGTCACAGATGAGGACACACAAGAAGGAGTTATCAAATTGAAAAAGGTATGTGGACATGTTTTTGAAAAGCAGATTACCCAATAAAAATTAAACAACACAAAGGAAATGAGAGACATCTTAATTTCCTTTCAATTAGGAATATTTTAAATTTAAAAAAAAGTCTGGGTAGCTAGGAAATATCGATTCCCAACTTTTATTCTGTGATTCAACAGGTATATAATTTATGCTGGACTTCCCAAGTGGTGCTAGGGGTAAAGAATGTGCCTGCCAATGCACCCGACATAAGAGATGCAGGTTTGATCCCTGGGTCAGGAAGATCCCCCGGAGGAGGGCATGGAAACCCACTCCAGTATTCTTGCCTGTAGAATATGATGGACAGGGGAGGGCGATCATAAGGTCACAAAGAGTCAGACACTACTGAACGAACCTAGCACTCACACACACATGCATATTTTATGTTGAAACAACTAGGCCCATTAATTCACTTAAGTCATTAAAAAAGTCTTACCAGAGTTTAATTTTAATTTAATTTGCTATTGTTATCAGCTTAGATGAACAGGTTAATTTAAAGATAAGATGTAGAAGTAAACACGAAGTATACCAGGTTTGGCCTTGTCCTATTTACTACTTTTATGAGAATATTAATATCTAACTCACACACTTGTTCATGAGCCTAGACCTCAGAGTGGGTGAATTCTGATATGGGCAAGCTCTGTTACAGGTGAATGGAAGAAATGAGAAGGGATAAAGCTGGGTTTGAGGGTGCTATGATGTGGTAAGTAAACAAAAATTAACCAGAAGTAGGGAGAAGACAAGAAGGTGTAATGTGATGGGAAGCCCTCTAGTTATGTTAACTTGATTTGTATAGAAAAGAATGGAGAGTAAGATTCAAAATATTAGAAATACATCATTATCTCAGGATATGTAGTTGGTCTTTTGTCAGGAAGGGGCATGAAGCAATATGTAAATGTGAGAAAGAGAAAAATCCTTTTGACTCCCTTTATCCATTTCACTGGGGTCTTCCCAGGTGGCTTAGTGGTAAAGAATCTGCCTACCAATGCAGGTAATGTAGGAGACGTGGGTTCAATCCCTGGGTTGGGAAGATCCCTTGGAAGAAGAAATGGCAACTCACTCCAGTATTCTTGCCTGGGAAATCCCATGGACAGAGGAGCCTGGCAGCCTACTATCCATGGGGTTACAAGGTGCTGGACACGACTGAGCGCACGAGCCACACCCCATGCCACCCATTTCACCCACTACCCTACTCTACTTCTGGCAACACCAGTCAGCCCTCTGTATTTATGAGCTTGTTTGTTTGTTTTAGATTTCATATATAAATGAAATCATATGATATTTGTCTTTCTTTGTCTGACTTATTTCACTTAAATTAGCACAATGCCCTCAAAGTTCACCCATGTTGTCGTAAATAGCAAGATTTTATTCCATATCTCTATCACTGCAGATTTCATATCCGAGAATTCAATCAATTGCCAAATTATTCAGGGAAAAAGTTCCATGTAAAATTCTGAAAGACAAAACTTGAAGTTGCTGCATACTGACAACTATTTACATAGCATTTACTTATATTAGATACTATAAGTGATCTAAAAAATATTTGCAGTATACAGAAAATATGCACAGGTTATATGCAAATACTATCATCTTATGTAAGGGATCTGAGCATCCTTGGATTTTGGTATCTGCAAGGGGTCTTGGAGCCTGTGGATACCAAGTGATGACTGTGTATACATTTTCTTTATCCATTCACCTCTCAGTGGGCATTTGAGTTGCTTCCATATTTTTGTTATTGGCAATAATGCTGCCTGTTGTTTAATCACCAAATCGTGTCTGACTCTTTTGTAACCCAATAGACTGTAACTCTTCAGGCCCCTCTGTCCAAGGGATTTCCCAGGCAAGGATGCTGAAGTGGGTATACATTTTCTTCTCCATGGGATCTTCCCAACCCAGGGATTGAACCCCCCTCCTTCTGCACTGGCAGGCAGGTTCTTTACCATTGAACCACCAGGGAAGCTCCAAGCAAGCTCTAGAAGGTAGTGGAGGACAGACGAGCCTAATATGCTACAATCCATGGGGTCATGAAGAGTTGGATGGGACTTAGCAATTAAATAACAAGAACAAAATAATGCTGCAGTGAACATGGTTTTGCATATGTCCTTTTAAGTTAGTGTTTGTTTTCTTTGGACAAATACCCAGGAAAGAAATTGCTGGATCATATAGTAGCTCTATTTTTAACTTTGTGAGCAACCTACCTACTGTTTTCCACAATGGCTACACCAATTTATATTTGCACCAATACTGCACAAAGGCTCTTTTTTCCTCCAACACTATTTTGTTGTCTTTTTGATAATAGCCAGTCTAGCATATATGAGGTGGTACGTCATTATGCTGTTAACATTTTCCTGGTGATTAGTGATGTTCAGCATCTCTTCGTGTACTAGTTGGCCTATAGTTCTTTAAATAGATTTTTTCTTTTTTGAGGGAAAACTCTATTAAAAGACTATTTATGTTCATATACAGAGAGTTCTCAGAAAACTGTATCTTCAACTTATTCAGTCCCAGGAAAAGTAGATGTACAATAATAAATATGTATGTAAATATCAACAGCAGTGTTTAAGTTCCATAATGATCTTAAAATTACTTTTGGAAACTTTTCTCTCAATAGCTCAGCATAGAATTGCAGTGAAGATTTTTGATATGAAATCAAATTCATATAGAAATTATAATCTTAAGTATATGACATGCATATATAAAGTCTAAAAATACATATTCTCCATTTGAACACATCTGTTTTAAAATATCATGCTATTTTTTGTTTTTGAGTGATTTTCTTTTTTATCTCACTAAAGAATAAATTAAAATGCTTAAAATTCTCTAAAGCACACATTCTTGTTATAATTACATTTCCAAAATCTTTATTTAGTTTCCTTTTACTATTTTTCCCTCTCTCCTCTTTCTCCATGCATGGAAGGTATAAGTGGATTAAAAATGATGGTCAAGTTTACATGAGCTTCTCAGAATGAAAAAAAGGCATTTTTATTTTTTAAACCTCAACTTGGGTTCAGTTTATGAGCACTGTGACAATGCCATTTCACTGTGTCACTCTGAATTCAGGATAACATTATGCAACTTTATATATCTCTCCAAGGCACAAGATACTGCTTTTTTTTTTTTTTTTAAGAAACTATTCGTATTTTATACTTATGTCCTATTGCACTAAGAAAGTATGAATAAATAAAAAATGCCCTATATATTGCTAAGTATTATAACAATAGAAACAATAACAAAGTTAGGGTAATATAACTTAAAATTTTTTTGTCACAGCTAATAATTAGGCCATGGGTTGCATTTAAAATGAGAGAAGTCATTTTAAATTCAGCCATTTCATTGTTACAAGAAAAGCTAAATTAAATATAAATTTTTAGTCCATAGATTTTATATCTTACTGGATAAGTGAGAATGTGCGTGCTAAGTTGCTTCAGTTGTCTCTGACTCTGTGTGACCCTAGGAACCATAGCCTGCCAGGCTCCTCTGTCCAGGGGATTCTCCAGGCAAAAGTTCTGGAGAGGACTGCCATGCCCTCTTCTAGGGGATCTTTCCTACCCAGGGATCCAACCTGAGTCTCTTATGCCTCCTGCACTTGCAGGCGGGTTCTTTACCACTAGCACCACCCAAGAAGCCCATAAATGAGAATAAATATATATTTACTGGATATAAATACAAATGTAAAGTTAACATGAGTTATAAATATTCAAGAACTGAAAATACATATTTATGTACATGCACACTGTGGTTTGCTTGTTACTGATTAAGAGATTTAGGCAGTTAAATACTGAGATGAATACTTATATTGAGCAAAAGAGCAATTTTAATAATTTGAATAATTTCTAAAACAGCTCTGTACTATTTTTACAATATATTTATTGGGAACTCAAATAAGTAATGACAGCATTTAAAATAAAGAAGGGTAAAGTAATTTCCTATTTATTTTAAAATAAGTGAAACTTCTTTGGAACTAAAAAATAAATCCTTACTATTTTGCTATTGCATAACAATATTATTTCATTTCAAATAACCGTAATTGTGATCACAGTACATCCAAAGGAGAATTATTTTGTTTTTCCTTAAAAACGTAAGAGATAAAGTATTTTATTCTTCCTTGGGATTTTAAATAAATAGGCTAAACTCTCTACTGACTCCGCTGGACATTTTTACTTATGCCTTGTTTTCACTGAACTCCTTTTTGCTGGCTTCAGTGGCAAGGGAGTGAATTGACATCAATTGATTTGGTAGCACAGCGCCACCACGTGGTTAATTTTGGAAAAACTCTTAGAAAAAAACAATTAGGAATACCTGTTTGGGCTTCCCAGGTGGCCCGGTAAAGAATCCACCTGCAAAGCAGACGACACAGGAGAACCGGGTTTTATCCCTGGGTTGGGAAAATCCCCCGAAGAAGGAAATGGCAACCCACTCCAGTATTCTTGCCTGGAGAATCCCATGGACAGAGGAGCCTGGCGGGCTACATACAGTCCATGGGGTCCCAGACAGTCCAACACGACTGGGCAGGCACTCAACTGTTTTACATAGCCAAGCATACACCTCGATTTATTGTTTTTACCAAACATGAACATTTCAGAGAAAAATACAAGATGCTCTTTGTTTCTGTAAATATTATATAATTTTTGTATTTGTCATTTTCTGTTTTTAAGCATCTCACCTAACTTTCCTGATAGCTCAGTTGGTAAAGAATCCTCCTGCAATGCAGGAGACCCCAGTTCGATTCCTGGGTTTGGAAGATCCCCTGGAGAAGGGATAGGCTACCCATTCCAGTATTCTGGCCTAGAGAATTTCATGGGCAGTATAGACCATGGGTTCTCAAAGAGTGGGACACGACTCAGCAACTTTCACTTTCACTTTCTTTCACCTAACTTTCCCAGTCTCAACTCTTCAGTTCAGTTCAGTCACTCAGTCGTGTCCGACTGTTTGCGACCCCATGAATCACAGCATGCCAGGCCTCCCTGTCCATC